TCCCGATTGAATCAATTGAGTTTTCAGCACAAAATAAACCCGTGTACATACCTTCTTGCAAACATGCTCATGGCATGTGAAGAACCTGAAGGTAAAAACGCTTTTGCAATTTACAGTCTGATTCCCCCAGAAGAGATCTTAGTCAGCCAGGCACACGGCTATTTACAGCCCTGTATGGATCTAGGTAGACTCAGACAATAAGTAATTTCCATTTTCATTCTAAATTGCTACTGTTTGGAAGACTCACAGAACATTTAAGACATAACCATAAACACACCCCAGTACTTACAACATCACCATTGGGACTATTATCTGTATATAACAAAAACATCCTCAGTTTATAAATAAAGGTCACATGCTTTCTGCTTTCTCCTGTCCTGTACCTTGTGCCAATATTATCATACTGAATTGGTCTCCTTTCTTCTTAGCGCATTGGCCTCCTTTTAACGCTGATTAATTTGTATACATTGTTAAGTCGCTCGCTTAACAAAGTCGGAGAGTGATTCAGCAAGAACACAACTTTATTCTTCAACTTGAACACAACTCCAACACAGATCAACATTTGATAGCCAGAACAGAACAGCTCAGCTTTTACATTGCAGTTGTCCTGCTTTTAAACTCTCCCGGCTAATGTAGCCACACCCACTGTACAAATACCAACCAATACGGTTGTTCATATAAGGACCAATCACGGACGTTCCCGCTCAGGGAACTTGCTGTAAGGTGATTGGCTAGGTGCTTCCTGGGCTAGCAATGCGATTGGATGGATTTGGATCCTTGCCCAGGACAAAGCTCAACATGGCAAGTCAATTAGATGTTTCACATACATCATGCATTCAGTGGCAGCTATTGAATACATTACATACATGATATTCACAAACAGGAGTTAAATCCAAGATTAGACAGTCTGCTCTGATCCTGGAAACCTTATTTCAAATAGTGCCACATAGATAAAAGGATAGAGTCATCAGCATGGGTTATTTCTAATTTAAAGCTGCAGACTGCAGTTATGTGGTACCATACTTGGATTTCAGCTGATTAATTTTCGATTACTTTGATGAGACTGAACCAATCAGTCTCAGTACTTCTGCTTAAATAGGCTATGAAGTGATGTGTTACTTCACTGAGAATGAGCCATTTTAAAGGCAAAGTCACTGGTTTCAGTACTTTGTAGATGGCAAATCAAGCTAATCAGATTAATCATGCATGGAATCACCACTACCAAGGCAGGAAAATCCTGCATAGATCATTCTTCAAGTCCCACGTCCGTCAGGGCGTCCTAAGGGTTAAAACAGTTTTCTACTTCTCTGGACTACACATTTGAGTTAAGAAAACTGCTCTCTCTTCTATAGTGGTTCAATTGCATGACGAAAGCCAATCATTAGTACAGATAAATGAAACTTACACTCTCCTCTCTCATGTTATTACCAGTGTTCCCTCTAAGCTGAGTTATTGTGTGCTAGCTCACAGTTTTTTAGCCTCTGGCTCACACATTTTTGCCTTAGCTCAGGAAGGAGGGCTCCAGAGCAAACTAATTTACACAGTAGCCAAATCGTTTCCTTACAACTTTAATGCCAGTAGCTCACAAAGTAGAATTTTTGCTCACAGGACTCCACAGCTTAGAGGGAACATTGATTATTACCGCCCCCCCCCCCAAATCCGCAGATGAGCGAACACTAATTGTTATAAATTTGAGCAGATCACATATATAGTTCCAATAACATAAACAGCCAAGATAAATTCACACAAATTATGAACACAGCAAATAACAATTAAAGACATGAGCAAAATGGGCAGACTTCATCTGGTATCTGAAATTATAACAAGGCCAGGTCCCCCCAGCTACTGACAGGGGGTGAGAGGAACTTACCAGGAGCAGCAGGGAGGCCCACTCAATGTCCATGACACTGCCCACATGACTCGGAAGGGCTGTCATCACGTCCGGGCCATCGGGGCAACGCTCTGGTATTTGGGCAAAGACTCAATGGTAAATTTGGTTTGTATCATAGAGTTTTTGCTCAAATACCAGGGCATCGCCCCAGCATCCTGGATGTGATGATATCACTTCTGGCTCACGTGGGCAGGGACATGAGCATGTCACTGCACGTCAGATGGATCTCCCTGTTTTTCAGGGTAAGTCCTTTCACCAGCCAGCTGATTGGCAGTGGGCAGGTGGGGCCTGGCAGTGGGGGACCCACGCCGCAACCAGGGGGGGTCTGGCAACCCGATAACAAGGAAGGCACCAGGCCAACACATTCAGTGAGAAGGTCCCACATAGGCAAGGCTCCTTTTCCAGGATCCCTTCCCTTCCACTTTGAGACAGAGGTGCCACAAGAAGGGCCTCTCATGAGTTCTCAGCTGACAGACAAGGTTCATGCAGAAGAAAGAAAACTCGGGGCACTTTTGACTTCCAGGATGACTTTTGACCAATCACTTCCGAAATACTGAATAAAGCAGTTTTGCACTTTGCACCCAAATGAGTCCCATGTGCAAACTAAAGTATTAGGTGCAAAGGGGTGAAGGCCAGAATTTGGCCTGTTAATTTAACTTACCTCCGTCCCATCTGTCCAAATAAAAGTGTTAGCTCTCTTTCTTGGGACATAACTTGGGATTTTATTTCCCACTTCACGGAGATAAACCTGTGTTACTCTAAAAACGTATTCCTCCACCCATAGCACTGCTTACATCCCATTTTGAAGCATAAACAGTGCAAGGCAAAAGGAAAAAAAACACATTTCAGTTATACATATTCCAGTTATCTCTTTTCCCTGTTTTTTTACACAAAAAGACAATGGGACTGTTATCAGTGCGTTCCACTCCCCTCACTCTGCACTTACCTGACATTGTCATGCTTCTGGATGTAAATTTTATGAAACATCATATCTTCTTTTTTGGCATTAATGTCGGCTTTCATCTCCATAGCAACATGACGAGGAAGTACAGAAAGCAGGAGGCGCTCCTGTGGAGTGAGACAGATGAATTAATTAAAATACTTGCTATCTATTTAATAACACAAATGCACATCTCTTTGCATCTCATGTGAGGAAAAAGAAGCCATTAGTTCTGAGGTACACAGGCACAATCAAGGATATTTCCCAGGATCTTATTCCACTCCATAATGAAACCTCAGAGGATATCACAACCGATCAGATGTCTTTCATAATTTCAACTTAATGTCAATTCATAATAGCGAACAGGGCTATTTTTGGGCAGGAACGCACAAGAACGGAGTTCCGGCTGGCTTCCAAGTTGGCCACACCTACAGCCTCCCCTCCCTCCCCAGGTTCCCCAGGAGCCTCACAAGCCACGGGACGCCTGGGGAAGCCAAGCCACCCAGGGAGGGAAGGCAGTTTAAACTGCCTCCCCTCCTCGGGTTCCTCAAACTCCCTGAAAGTCACAGGGCACCTGGGGAAGCCGATCCTGGGAGGGAGCTGTGCAGTCAGGGATGTGGCCTAACATGCTAATGAGTTTCTGCTGTTGGGTGTGGCCCATTATGCTAATGAGTTCCTGCTGGGCTTTTTCTACAAAAAAAGCCCTGATAGCGAACATCTCAAATGTAATTTTAAAGGAATGTACACAAAATTCTATTTGAAATTACAAAAAAATCTCTTAACTGTTTTTTAAAGATGCGGTACAAGTACAAATTGAATTTAAACACATGAGGTTAACCACATAGTATTAACAAAGCTGGTTGGAACACGGAATAGGCCTTAGTGTCAAGGGAAATGCAGAGCACCTTAGTTTGGTGTAACACACGAGTGGTGGAGTGCAACTGGGAACAGAGCAGAAGGGCCTGTGCACGTCCAGCACTAGTCCCCTCAACTCTCTCCTGGCTTTACCATATGATTATGGCCAGGGGCCATTTCGTAGAAAAAGAGGCGCAGGAGCTCATTAGCGTAACTCATTAGCATAACTTATTTGCATATGCCACACACCCCGACATCACCAGAAGTGTGTCAGAAGGCAACACCCACCGCTCATGCTAGCTATTGGGGGGGGGGGAGTGTGCAGATCTGTCCTCGCAGAGGAGGGAGGGCTTGTACCTGAATAAAACTTGGACTTAAAGGTGCCCCTGGACTGTTTTGGACTGGGGGGCCAGGGGGGCTCTGCAGCTTATCTGGCTGCTTCTTGCTCTGACTGAGGGCTGCTGGGAGCAGGGGGTGGGGCTTGTTGCATGTGCCCGCCCCCTGGGCTCTTTACTGCCGGAGCTCCACTCCTGTGCACTCCTGCAGGAAATGACCCCTGATTACAGCCTGACGAAGGGTCGAAGCGGAGATTTACCTGGAACATCCATTGTCGTGGTTAATACTATGTGGTTAACCTCATGTATTATGGTTTCACTTCATATGTTTAAATTCAATTTGTACTTGTACTGCATCTTTAAAAAACAGTTAAGAGATTTTTTGTAATTTCAAATAGAATTTTGTGTATATTCCTTTAAAATTACAGTGTTTTCCAGATACAGTATATCACACCCACTGTATAGCCATTTTCTGTTATACAACATCTCAAATGCAGCTGTACTGTCAGCAGTTGGCAACACAGGGTGGATGCATATTGTTCCTTGCAGTTTAATGATTTCATGATGCCACATGCGTCACCAAGACCTACACTAGAATGCAATCGGGCTCCATCCAGTTTGCAATATAAGTTGCAAACCTCAATGTTTCAGTGTGTTTGGGTCAAACTGGACGCCACAATGGCCAAGGGTCCAACCTGTGGCTGCCAACCCCATTTTACAGGAGAACCTAGCCATTTAAAAGTTGCTGTAGTGTGGCAGCACCATGTCATCTTGTTTCCCCCGGTACCTTTTCAAGAGATGTCGGAGAGGAAACAAGATCACATGTTGCCACTCTGCCACAGCAGGTTGGACCCATGGCTGCCATAAGAACCAGTCTGGCTCTTATACTATTGTCTGCATAGGACTGTACTGGTAAGCCTTAGAAAAATCTAGAGGGGCAGTGGATGTAGTTCGGAATGGATCTAATTCTGAGTGCAGCTTGGGGTCTGAGCCCTTTCAGGTGTTCAGTTTTGGCGTTCCTTATGTGCAGGGCTTTTTTGGTAGAAAAAGGCCAGTAGGAACTTATTAGCATAATAGGCCACACCCAACAGCAGAAACAGGACGACCTGGCGGGAGCTGGTCCATGGGGTTGCGAAGAGTCGGACTCGACTGTGCGACTGAACAACAACAACAACAGCAGAAACTCATTAGCTTATTAGGCCACACCCCCAACAGCACAGCTCATTAGCATATTAGGTCCCAGCCCCATGCCTTCCCTTGGCTTGCTTGAGCACCCCGTGACTGGGGGGAGCCCGGGCAAACCAGCCCTTGGACAGGCCGGGGAAGGCACGGGGAGGCATTTAAATGCCCCCGATCCTTCCAGCCCCCCCGGCCCGCCCGCCTCGGAGTCGCCGGGGTGTGTGTGTCACTCTCCAGGCCTTCCCTCTGTAGCCACACACACAGAGGTTTTGGCTGTAGTGGGCGTGGCCAACTCTGAAGCCACCCGAAACTCCGTTCCTGTACGTTCCTGCCCCAAAATAGCCCTGCTTATGTGTATGGGAAATCTGTGCCACCCATGATCCTTCTAATACATGCTGTTTCCATTTTATAAGAACAGTATATCACACCCACTGTATAGCCTAAGGAGGGCAATGTGAGAAAATGCCTATTCTAAAAAAATCAGCATTCCCTTCATGTACAACATATACCCTTCTTAGGGGCATGATTTTCCTTCCGTTTTACTTTTTGTGTCCCTTCACTGACTGAGCAGCCCGGGTAATGTTTATTCTTCTTTTTAAAGTAGCTTTTAGCAGTCCCGCCCTGTGTCAGTAATATGCAATGGCTATTTTCTCAGCCCAGGACCTGAGGGAAGGGTTAGGGTCTCCCTGTAGCTTGAATGACAGAAAAGGTCACTTGAGACACTTTTAAAATTGAAAAACAACAGAAGATTTTATCTCCTCAGCATCCAGCTCTCACAAGACTTTCCTTGCTCAGCTGATGCCAACCAATCAAATTGCCTGGAGCAGCCTGTCACTCAAGGCTCTCCGGCTCTGTGAAGGACTAACCCTTCATAGTCCCGTAGTTTTATGTACAGCACTTTTAAGCCTCTTAAAAAGTGCAGACCGTCACAGCAAAGCTTTAGTATCAAGATTACGAAAGTATAAGATGATGCCTACCTGGTTAATGACCGAAAGGCTACGACATAACTGGAGTGACAACGTTCCCCTGCTGCTTGTTCTCTGCAACTGATATTCAGAGATTCCACTGAAATCATGACTGACAGGAGAGGGCCCTGACCTGGACGCTGCAGGCTAGCCTGTGTCAGCTATGCTGCCATGGGGGTTGGGGAGTTCATTCTGTGTCTTGTTAATTGCTATTGCATTCCTATCCCTGCTGTTATGCCTTTGCTGAAATGCTTATCTCTACAGATGTGCAGGAGGAGGTTGTGTTGTCTGGAGGGATCCTATGTACCGTGAGAGACTCCAGGTTCTCAGCTCTAACCACCTAACGGTTGCCTGACTTATCCCGTGCGCGGGAGGGTGCCTAATTGGCCAATGCCATGGGGTGTGTGCATACAAATACCCTATATCCTATCCTGATCTACAGGCTCTGGCCATTCTTAACAGTGCCTGTGTTACTGCATCTATAGCTTTGCAATAAAAGTATAACCGTTCCTGAATGCGTGTACTTCGTTGTTAGCTGTGGGTTCTGACTAGAGATGTAAAATTTCTGAAAATTCTGAAGCTTGGAAAAACCCGGGTTTTTTCCGTTTCCCCCCGGAAAAAAACGGAAATTTTTGGAAAAATTGAAAAAAATGCTACATTAGCATTTCTTTTGTCTTTTCTAGATTGAAAGTCATTCTGTTACTTTAGGAACATAAAATATGACTATGGACATTTTTGCTTGCCATGAAATTATCACAACTAGCATATTAAAAATATAGTGTATCCAAGCAATTATTACAGAATACCCACCCACATGCAGAAACAAAACGGAAACTTTTTTGTTTTCTTCTGACAATCGCACCTCCTAAAGGAAAAAAATGCATCTTGTTCTTGCATTGGAGAGTTCAGTTTGTAACCTAGAACTTGCTTGTCCTCAGTGCACAGAAATTAGATCAATCTGATACCATATATATATATATAGTAGAAATGATTTGGAAAATATTTGAACACCTTGTCTTAAAATATTTTATTCATCATGTTAAAATAAAACGTTCCATAATCAATTTTTTTCTTTTCTTTTTCTAATTTTTCGGGAAAAAACAAAAAGGCTTCAGGAAAAAAACGGGGGGGGGGGGGCAACGGTTTTTTTCCGGGCCTTCACATCTCTAGTTCTGACAGCCTGATCTTGGCAAATCTTGGAAGCTTAAGCAGGGCCAGCCCTGGTTAGTACTTGGATAGGAGACCAACAAGGAAGTCTAGGGTCGCTACACAGAGGCAGGCCTGCCTTGAAAAAACTATGAAGTCGCTGTAAGTCGGCTGTGACTTGACAGCGTTTTACATACGTGGTAGGACAGGCCTCCATGGGCAAAGCTGGAATGGAGCAGGTAGCCGTTTGGTAGAGCTCATGAAAGATGTGGCAAGGTGGGTGAGACGTGGCATCTCTAGTTTTGGAGGCACAAGCTTCCCCAACTTCCATGATTTTTACTTTACAGCATAGATGCAAAAAGTAACCCCCCCCCCAATTCACTGTCACAGTCTT